GGCTGAGACAGGAGAAGTGCTCGAACCCGAGAGGAGGTTGTGGTGAACTGAGATTGCGCCATTGCACTCCAGCCTGGGCAATAACAGCAAAGCTGCGTCTCAAAAAAGCTACAAAAAACTCAACCTGGCTGGGTGCGATGGCGCGTGCCTGTAGTCCCAGCTACCTGGGAGGCTGAGGCTGGAGGACTGCTTAAGTCCAGGAGTTCTGGGCTGTAGTGCACTATGCAGGTCAGGTGTCCACACTGTTTGGCATCAATATGGTGACATCCTGGGAGCAGGGGACCACTAGGTTGCCTAAGGAGGGGTGAACCGGCCCAGGTGGGAAACGGAGCAGATCAAAACTCCCATGCTGATCAGTAGTGGGACTGTGCCTGTGAATAGCCACTGCACTCCAGCCTGGGCAACACAGCGAGATCCCATCTCTAAAAAAATAAATAAGATTAAAAAAAAAAAAAAACCTCAACCTGTACCTAAACAAAAATATCAAATTTCTTCCCTCTTATTTTTCTGAGACAAGACAAACTCTTGTTGCTCAGACTGGAGTGCAATGGCACAATCTCGGCTCACCGCGACCTCTGCCTCCCGGGTTCAAGCAATTCTCCTGCCTCAGCCTCCCGAGTAGCTGGGGTTACAGGCATGTGTCACGACGCACGGCCAATTTTTGTATTTTTAGTAGAGACACGGTTTCTCCATGATGGTCAGGTTGGTCTTGAACTCTCAGCCTCAGGTGATCCACCTGCCTCAGCCTCCCAAAGTGCTGGGATTATAGTGTGAGCCACCATGTCTGGACTTCTTCACTCGTAAATAAAATTTTTTTTTTTTGGCTGGGCATGGTGGCTGATTCCTGTAATCCTAGCACTTTGGGAGGCCGAGGCAGGTGGATCATGAGGTCAGGAGTTCAAGACCAGCCTGGCCAAGATGGTGAAGCCCTGTGTCTACTGAAACTACAAAAATTAGCCAGGTGTGGTGGCAGGCACCTGTATTCCCAGCTACTCAGGAGGCTGAGGCAGGAGAATCGCTCAAACTCGGGTGGCAGACACGTTGCGGTGAGCCCAGATTGCACCACTGCACTCCAGCCTGGGCAACCCTGTGAGACTCTGACTAAAAAAAAAAAAAATTAAAATTAAAATTAAAAAAGCAAATGAAATAATTTTTTTTTAAAGACAGTTTTGCTCATGTCACCTAGGCTGGAGCGCAATGGTGCGATCTTGGCTCACTGCAACCTCTCTGCCTCCCAGGTTTAAGGGATTCTCCTGCCTCTGCCTCCTGAAGTAGTTGGGATTACAGGGGACTGCTACCACACCCAGCTAATTTTTTTTTTGTATTTTTAGTTGAGAAGGGATTTCACCATGTTGGCCAGACTGGTCTTGAACTCCTGACCTCTTGATCCTCCCGCCTCAGCCTCCCAAAGTGCTGGGATTACAGGCATGAGCTTATGTGCCCAGCCAATTTTTTAAAAGACTTGCCCAGGCGCAGTGGCTCACACCTGTAACCCCAGCACTTTGGGAGGCTGAGATGGGCAGATCACTTCAGGCCAGGAGCTCAAGACCAGCCTGGCCAACGTGACAAAACCCCATCTCTCCTAAGAATACAAAAATTAGCCAAATTAGATGGGCGTGGTGAAGCATGCCTGTAGTCCCAGCTACTCAGGAGGCTGAGGAGAGAGAATTGCTTGAACCCAGGAGGCCGAGGTTGCAGTGAGCTGAGATCACTCCACTGCACTGCAACCTGGGTGACAGAGCAGGCGAGACTCTGCAAAGAAAAAAACTCCTATGATTACATAGCATTTACCATAACTCATTAAATGTAAAGTTAAACCCTGACCATACTTCAATAAATTTTATCTTAAAAAAACAAAACAAAAAACAAGTTCTCACATAACTATAGTCCCAGCTACCAAGGAGGCTGAGGCAGTGGTAGGCCCCCTCAAGTACAGGAGCTACTCTCTAGCCTAGGCAACATAGTGACAGCAGGTCTCCAAAAAAAGAAATTAAAAAATTATTTTACTATTTTAACCTTATTTCATTTCATATTTTAGAGACAGGGTCTCACTCTCTCGCCAAGGCTGGAATGCAACGGTGTGATCATTGGTCACGGTAGCCTCAAACGCCTAGACAGCCCACCATGGCCCAGCTAATAATTCTTTTTTGTAGAGATGGGTCCTTGCTATGTTGACCAGGCTGGTCTTGAACTCCTAGCCTCAAGTAAGCCTCCTGCCTCAGTTGCCCAAAGTGTTGGGATTATAGGTGTGAGCCACTGCACCTAGCCTGAAACCTTATTTTAAAAGTTTATATCTTGTTTCCTATGATCCGTGTTAGAGGAAAAAAAAAAAAAAAAACAAGTTTCTATCAGACCAGGACCTCAAGATGGAGTCAGCTGTATCAGCGAAGAAGAAACTCCTGGATGTCAAACTAGCGGAACTGCCAAACTGGATATTAATGTGTGATCTTACACAAAAAGGCACTATTGGAACATTCAAAGAGGTTCTACAGGTATTACAGCAAGTACTCCAATGTGAAGACAGGGGGATTCAACAGGATTTCTGTGGTGCTGGCAGCTTAAGTGCTTTTCAGCTACTGCCTTTCTGAAAAGGAACACAAGCATGGGCAGCTACAGAAGTACAACTTAAGGGGGCCATTGCGGAGAGCTCACTCCTGGATAATCTCCCTAGTTTAATGTCAGCTGATAGCAACCTTAATTCCCTCTGCATCCTGAGTTTTCTCCTGTCATGTAACATATCATACTTACAGGTTTCAGGGATTAAGAAGTGGATATCCTTGGAGAAACCATTATTCTATCTTTGTTGGTTCAAACAATTCAGGGTTTGTTGATTCAGTGAGGTCTTTTTTTTTTTTTTTTAAAGACAGGGTCTTCCTATGTTGCCCAGGCTGGAGTACAGTGGCTATTCACAGGCGAGATCCCACTAATCATCAGCACAGGAGTTTTGACCTGCTCTGTTTCCGACCTGGGCAGATTCACCCCTCCTTAGGCAACCTGGTGGTCCCTCGCTCCCAGGGGGTCACCATATTGATGCCAAACTTACTGCAGACACCCGGTTGGCACAGTGCACTACAGCCCAGAGCTCCTAGACTCAAGAGATCCTCCGGCCTCAGCCTCCTGAATAGCTGGGACCACAGGCACGCGCCACTGCGCCCGGCCAGTGAGGTCTTTTTATTGAGCACTTGAGTCTCTGGTAGGCTCTGTGGCATACACAAAAGAACAGAATCCTGTCTCATTTGATTACAGGTAGCTGACAAATTAATCAGTGTAGTTACTGAAAGTTACTTGAACACAGAGACTATATGTAAGTAACTCTCGCTATACACTGGTGTAGTGAAATTCCATTAAAGGTATTTTTTTTCTTTGAAGCACAGCAATTATGATGCTGATGAGAAATTTCATTATGAAGACAATGTGGTATGGAGAAAAAAATTAGGTTTTTTTTTTGATATGGAGTCTTGCTCTGTCACCAGGCTGGAGCGCAGTGGCACAGTCTTGGCTCACTGTAACCTCCACCTCCCGGGTTTAAGCGATTCTTCCGCCTCAGCCTCCCGAGTAGCTGGGACTACAGGTGTGTGCCAAACACCCGGCTAATTTTTGTGTTTTTAGTAGAGACGGGGTTTCACCATGTTGACCAGGATGGTCTCGATCTCTTGACCTCGTGATCCACCCGCCTCGGCCTCCCAAAGCACTGGGATTACAGGCGTGAGCCACCATGCCCGGCCAAAAAATTAGGTTTTTAAGACACAGGCAAACTAGAGTCTAAATATCGTTACTGGACTTCTCTGGGCCTCAGGCTTCTCTTCTGTAAAGTGAGGGTAAGATTATCTATCTCAATGTGTTGCTCATTATAAGGATTAAACAGGAATACACATTCTCCTGGCACAGTAGTCCACAAATGCTAATTCTCTTTCTCTTCTGGTATTTTAAGCATCTAACATTCATTTCAATATTTTTTCTTCTTTTTTCTTTTTTTTTTTGAGACGGAGTTTTGCTCTTGTCACCCAGGCTGGAGTACAATAGCGCAATTTGCTGGGATTACAGGCGTAAGCCACCATACCCGGCCTCATTTCAATATTTCTGCGATTTGCTTTGCACTTGCCTACGATGCTTTATGTAAATGAAATAGTAGACATAGTCCCTGCTCTCAAAAAAAGTTGTTGCTAGTGTAATACATTTGCATGCATGAAGTAACTAAAGAAAGATCAGTCAACCCAAGTAGGCTCCATGAAAGTGTGTGGACTTGGTTAGGAAAATAGACAATGAGGTAATGAAGGCTGCTTTCCTGTTTACCTTAAAGAAACAAAACACGTAGGTTCAAGTCTATAATCCCAGCACTTTGAGAGGCAGAGGTGGGCAGATCACAAGGTCCAGAGTTCAAGACCAGCCTGGCCAATATGATGAAACATCATTTCTACTAAAAATACAAAACTAGTCAGGTGTGGTGGCGGCCCCGTAATCCTGGCTACTCAGGAAGCTGGAGTGCAATGCCGTGATCTCAGCTCACTGCAACCTCCGCCTCCTGTGTTCAAGTGATTCTCCTGCCTCAGCCTCCTGAGTAGCTGAGATTACAGGGCCCACCACCATGCCTAATTTTTGTATTTTCAGTAGAGACGATGTTTCATCATGTTGGCCAGGCTAGTCTCGAACTCCTGACCTCATGTGATCTGCCCTCCTCGGCCTCCCAAAGAGTTGGGATTGCAGGTGTGAGCCACTTCACCTGGCCTTGCATGGGCTTTTGACAGCCATCTAGAACAGTAAATTTCTGAATTATTTCCTGGATCTCCAGGAGTCCACAAATGTGAAGGAAAGGGAAACCCAAGTAGATCCTTCCCGTAATTTATTCTGCTTTACCCTTTGGGTAAAGGTAAAAACTGCTAGCTCAAGTAAACTTTGGAATTATCTGTGGATTTTAATACTCCGTATTTCTGCTGCATTCGGTTATCAAATATCAGTCAAGTGTTTTGAGAAACAAATATTTAGTAGCCACAGAAACCTAACAGGCCTGTTTTTGCTTTGTTTTATTAACGACTTGGAGGAACAGAACACAAACTACCAATTACAACCACAAGCCTTATCGACATCCACAGAACTGTAAATGACAACATCGCAATTCTCTGCACTTTCTCTATGCCTAGGAGCTAATTCCACTTTACATATATTATCTTATTATTTCACGCACCAACCCTGGAGGCGTCTTTGGAGTTGCCTAATTTTTATGTACACTTTTTGATAAGGAATTAAGAAAAATAACTTGGTAGAGGAAGACAAGGGAAACTGAGTCCAGAACTGAATAAGCAGCACATGGTTTCTTCATCGTCTATCATCATCAGGCTGTCTAACGAGGCTGAAGAAGTACCATCCATGGGGAGCGTCAAAGGCAAACATCATCGCATATGGGCAGTGGTGTGAAAATCGAGCAATCCGAGCCGAGTTAACAACAACAAAAAGCGGACCACCACGCCGATCTTCCTGGGGTAGCAGGCTGGCAACTCAGCGCCCGGGAGGAATCCCCCCGGGAGGCGCCCCGGTCCTACTGACCTCACTCCCTACCTCCAGGAAGTTCGGAGTCCCGCTCCTTTCTCTCAGCGGTACAACCCCGCGTCGGTCCATTCCCTCACCGTGAGTCGAAGACTAGTTCTTCTCACAAGGCGACCGGCACACGCCGCCCGAGGGCGGCTCCGAGGAGCCAGTCCTGCGACTGCGAAGAAGGCTCCAGTCGTCCGGCAGGAAACGACTTAACGCGCAGCCGCCGCGGCCTCCAACCGCCGCCCGGCAGAGGGGCGCTAGGCAGCCCTTGACCGGCTAGCTGCGGTCCCGAGAGGAGGAGCGGGAGGCGACCCGTACGCCGCGGCGACGAGTCAAGGGAGGTAGGTTGTGTTGGGGCTCGGCCCGCCACCCTGGCAATTCCAGTCAAACGTCAAGCCCGAGCCGCTTTTCCTGTCCCTCCCTCTCCTGCCCCTGCAGCTGACAGGAATGGAACAGTCTCGCAGGGGGGATTGTGGGAGGCGCACGCGCGAGGGGCGGACGGTGGGGGGGCCTGGCGGCGGCGGCGGCGGCGGCGGCAGCAGTGGCGGCGGTTGGTGGCCGTGGGGGCGGGGAAGGGGGGGAGGACAGAAGAGGAGGTGGAGGAGGAGGAGGAGGAGGCTTGGGCTCGCGCCGCTTGAAGGTACGCGTGAGGGCCTGCGCCGGAGCCGGCTTGACAGGGCCTGAGAGGGAGTGGGGGGCCGAGCAAGGAGGTGTCCCTGGGTGGGCGCGTACGGGCTGGCTGGCGCGCGGGGCGGCCGAAGGTGGTGGTTGGTGGGAGCAGCCAGCGACGAGCCGGGAGACACCCGTACGCGTGCGGGCAGGCGTGCGCGCTACGCGGCCAGAGTCGGGCGGAGTGGGGGACGGTGGGGAAGAACGCGAGGAGGGAGGAGTGGGAGGTGGGGGGGCGCGAGGCGCCCTTCGCTCCCTCCCTCCGGAGGAGCTGCCGCCGCCGCTGCCGCCGCTCTGCTGCCGCCGCCGCCGCCGCTCCCGCCGCCATTTTGGGTTCGCTTTGCGGAGGGGGAGACGATCCCAGTCTCGGTTGCGGGACCCGCCTCCCCTCAGTTTGCCCCCTTTAGCCCTCCACCTTTCCCTTCTCCTCTCTCGCATTTCCGCCAGTCCGCTCACCCGCCGGCCGCCTCCTGACAAGCGGGAGGAATCCGCCGTGGACCCAGGAGCCTGGCGGCCACCCCCTCTTCCCCACTTCCCTGCACTCTCATCGCTCTCGGCCTGGGCCTCCGACACGGTGAGTAGAACGGTTTGGGCAGGCCTTGGGGCCTAAGCACTCTCTCAGCGATGGAATCCTGGGCTTCCTGGGAGCCACTGTCATCTCGCGGACCTGGACCTCCGGGAGAGCAGTGGTGAAGATGGGGGAAGGGAGAGCAGGGAGGGGGTTCCTGAGCCTACCGGGAAGTCCCTCCAGGCGGGGTGAAGGGGTGTCCCTGACAGACGGACTCCCGGCTCCGGGGAGGGGGCTGGAAAGTAAGCGAGTGGAGGCGGAGTCGCTGTGCCCCTGACGGGTTAGTTTGTGTTTGTAGGCATGATCGGAGCCTCCCGCATAGTCCAGTTTGTGTGTGTTTAAAGGATAAGCGTGTTCGAGGACACGATCTTGAGAGGGGAGTTGACCTGTACGACAAGGTCTGTGGTGTCCCTGCCGCGTTGAACGGTGTGTAGGAACGACGGGATGATCTCAGTGTTGCGAGTTTAATAAATGTCGCTGGTTAGTTTGTACATGGAAAGAGATGTTTTTGATCTAGAGGACAGATGGTCTGTTGGTATGTAGCGGCTGTGTTTGAGTGTGTGTGCGAGGATGGAAAGTGTTTCCGGAAGAGTTTGCCTTTATTTGTATAAGTGTAATGGCGTTCCCGTATAAGTTAGCTTATTTCTTGAATAAATGTTGGGAGATTCCTTGCAGGTTGATATGTGTGTGTATTTTAGGGATTGGGAGCCCTTAGTTACTTGTTGGGAAAGAGCGGTAATGGCAGTGTTCTATACAGCATGTGTCTGTGGGGTCAGGGAGGGGAGAAACTTGGCATAGCCAGTTGTGGGCTTAAGAATAGTTTGTGTCTTTGGTTAGAGTGAGTCGTGTAAATGTGAAGGCCCAAAATATCTTTAATAGAATAATTGCTACAAAGCTGTAAAGAATCGGTGGCCTTATTTGTTTTCCCGGGTTTACAGTAATAGTTTACAGTAATAGATTACAAGATAGTAAGAAAGCTCTTTCAGTTACTTTGTGATACTAAATCTCTGTGAAGATGGTAGGATAGATGCTCTCTTCCATTTTACAAAATAGGAAATTTAGGCATTAGGAAAGGACTTCTCCAAGGCCACATGTTAAATTGGTGACAGAGTTGGGACCGTAACTCCTGTATTTTGACTACTATTGCAAATCTGAGTGTTGGAAAGATAGGAACACATATGACTGGTTGGATTGTATTTGGAGGAGACGGATTGTGTCAGATATGGATGTGGAACGTAGACTTCCTTGCCCAGTCTGACCTGTGTGAAATGTGTATCCATGACTCTATCATTTTGTGTTTATGGAGAAAGCAGAGCATTTCTGACACTTGAGCTTGTATGTTTGAGGGAGAGAAAGCTTTCATAGCTTTACTTGTAGGAGAGCAGCTGCAAGGGTGCTGAGAGCTTAACTTGAAATCTGTGGGAGGAAGGACCCCTTTTCATTCATTCAACAAATATTTGTTGACTGTTCAATAAATGGTCCATGCCTTGAGGTGAGGATAATCAAGGTGTCTCTGTATGTAGCCTGGGTACAAATATGAGGGGAGTTGTTTTGACAGTGGTGAGTATTAAGTTGAGTGAAGCAATGTGGAATTAAAACCAGAAAACTGTTTTGGGGATCTGGGAATTGTTGATATGTGTGCCTGTGGATGTTGAAACTTTTTGGCTGGGCTGAAGGAATTGAAAGACTGTTACATAGTAAGAATCCCATCTATGAATGTGAGGGAAGAATGCATGAACTAAGCCAACCTAACTATATTCTTCTGGAAAATGGAATGTTTCTTCATAGGCTAGATAGATTAGTGGTTCTTAAAGTTTTTTGGGGGGTCACTTATGCTTCTGAGAATCTGACTGATGAAAGACACTAGACTCTCAAGTTAGAAGATGAGCATAAGCACGATCATGTGATTTATGTATATGATTTTAGGGACTTAAACTGTGATGAAATACAGCCAATTTGTATTTAGGTCTCATTTGAAAGCCTTTTGTTTTCATTGTTCGGGGGTGACGATGTTAGTATGAGTTTAAAGTGAAGGAGTCTATGATGATATTTGAACATGTTGACAGGAGAACTTTGGCATTCATGTGTTTTCATTTATTCTTTTTATCATCTGCAAACTTGTTTCTGCAGTGTTAGTAAAATACTCTGAATTTGGTGATAGCGGAATATCCTGTAGCACAAGTATCTATGGCTTTGTTCTTTGTCAGTATCTTTTTGTTCCTAAACTCTTGAGAAATGGGTTCATCTTTTTTTCAGTTTTGAACTGGGCCTGAGGTGGTTTGAAGCTTTTGTCTTGGAGTTTAGCTTAGTTACAAGAAACCCTGAGTTAATCCTATGCAGGAGACACAGAAATGAATAATATATGGCCTCCGTGCTTGAAGAGATGCTAATTCAATTGAATCTGTGAATTGTGACATGGTGGCGGCTCTCAAAAGGACAAGGAAGAGGGAAACATATTCCTAGAAGTTGAAATTTTGTTACCCAGTTGCAAAGAGTTTTTGCTAGTACTTATTCCTTGAGTGAGCATGAAGCGTTTACACTCTATATGCAACTTTGTACTTGAAAAAAATGTGTTTTGTATCATCTGGTGTTTTTGTACAAAGGAACTATTGATTTGGAAAGAAGGCAAATATCATTTATATTCCTTACCTTGTTTTGGGATATATTTTTACAGTGCATTTATGTAAAAAGGTTTTAATGTTAGCCAGGGGAGGTAGTTCATGCCTGTAATCCCAGCACTTTGGGAGGCTGAGGCAGGCGGATCACCTGAGGTCAGGAGTTTGAGACCAGCCTGGCCAACATGGTGAAACATGGTCTCTACTAAACATACAAAAATTAGCTGAGCGTGGTGATGGTCACCTGTAATCCCAGCTACTCGGGAGGGTGGGGCAGGAGAATCACTTGAACCTAGGAGGTGGAGGTTGCAGTGAGTCAAGATTGAACTACTGCTGCACTCCAGCCTGGGCGACAGAGTGAGACTCCATTTCCAAAAAAAAAAAAAAAAGTTTTGATGTCATTTCTGCGTATACATACACCTAGAAAACCCTTCTGGTATAAAACCCAGTAGGCATTTGACAGACTGCCCATTAATTTAGTGTTGGAAATTAAAAATATCTAGTGTACTTTTAAAAGGACAAGAAATTTAAAAAGGTGTTTTAATAGTATAGATTACAGGATTCAGTGAGATTGTGTAGTGGTCTTAGGAAAAATGGTCTGATGGTCTTTTCTCTCTATTGGCATAGCCCCTGTATAAGAATGTCATGTCAGTTTGTAAAATGTTTAGTATTCTTTTTCAGTTTTTAATGGGTAGTGGATTTATGGTGTTGTTTTTAGTAACATGCATGTGATACTTGTGTATTATGTGTATATATTTGTGAATGTATATGTATATACTTTATTTTTTATTTTTATAGAGGTGGGGTCTTGGTATGTTGACCAGGGTGGTCTCGAACGCCTGGCCTCAAGTCACACTTTTGTATGGCCTCCAATGCGTTTGGCCTATATATAGTTTCTTGTATTTATCAGATACCTAACAATATTTTTTAAATGCTTGTAATAACCACAAAATATGATTCAGGATCATCTTCTTTTTTTTTCTGAGACGGTGTTTTCTCTTTTGCCCAGACTAGGGTGCAGTGGCATGATTTTGGCTCACTGCAGCCTTCGTCTCGTGGGTTCAAGCAATTCTCCTACCTCAGCCTACCTATTAGCTGGGATTACAGGTGTCTGCCACCACACCTGGCTATTTTGTTTTTTTGAGATGGAGCCTTGCCCTGTTGCCCAGGCTGGAGTGCAATGGTGCGACCTTGATTAACTGCAACCTCCATCTCCTGGGTTCAAACGATTCTCCTGTCTCAGCCTCCTGAGTAGCTGGGATTACAGGAGCGTGCCACCATGCCTGGCTAATTTTCCATTTTTGGTAGAGACAGGGTTTCTCCATGTTGGTCAGGCTGGTCTCAAACTCCTGACCTCAGGTGATCTATCCACCTCGGCCTCCCAAAGTGCTGGGATTACCGGAGTGAACCACCGGTTCAGCCGAATCAGGAATTTTTTTATTTTTATTTTTTTGTATTTTTAGTAGAGACGGGGTTTCTCTATATTGGTCAGGCTGGTCTTGAACTCCTGACCTCAGGTGATCCGCCTGCCGTGGCCTCCCAGAGTGCTGGGATTACAGGCGTGAGCTACCATACCCAGCCTTTTTTTTTTTTTTTTTTTTTTGAGACAGAGTCACTCAGGCTGGAGTGCAGTGGTGCAGTTCGGTTTACCACAACCTTCGCTTTCCAGGTTCAAGTGATTCTCCTGCCTCAGTGTCCCGAGTAGCTGGGATTATAGGCGCCTACCACCATGCTCTGCTAATTTCTTGTATTTTTAGTAGAGATGGGGTTTCACTATGTTGGTCAGGCTAGTCTCAAACTCCTGACCTCAGGTGATTTACCCGCCTCTGCCTCCCAAAGTGCTGGGATTATAGGCGGGAGTCACCACGCCTGGCCCTGAATCAGGATTTTTAAGGATCAAGAATGGAAAAAGAGAGGCTGGACATCGTGGCTTACACCCGTTAATACCAGTACTTTGGGAGGCCAAAGTGGGTGGATCACCTGAGGTCAGGAGTTTGAGACTAACCTGGCCAACGTGGCAAAACCCTGTCTCTACTAAAAGCACAAAAATTAGCCAGTTGTGGTGGTGCATGCCTGTAGTCCCAATTACTCAGGGAGGCTGAGGCAGGACAATCACTTGAACCCAGGAGGCAGAGGTTGCAGTGGGCAGAGATCCACCACTGCAGGCCAGTCTGGGTAACAGAGTGAGACTTTCTTTCTATATAAATAAATAAATAATAGAAAAAGGGGACTGCCATAGTGGCTCATGCTTATAATCCCAGTGCTTTGGGAGGCTGATCCAGGACTTGTGCCCAGGAGTTTGATACCACCTGGGCAACATAGGAAGACCCCATTTCTACAGAAAGTTAAAAAATTAACATGCATGCCTGCAGTCCTGGCTTCTCAAGAGGCTGAGACAGGGGAATTCTGTGACCCAGGAGTTTGAGGCTGCTGTGAGATATGTTGGCACTACTGCACTGCAGCCTGGGCAATAGTATGAAACAGTGTTTCTTTAAAAAAAGGAAAATGATTTTCATGTTCTACTCTTGAATTGTATTCTGAAATAGAATGCAGCAAATCACTTTTTCTTTTGAGATGGAGTTTCACTCTTTTCACCCAGGCTTTAGTGCAGTGGCGTCATATCAGCTTGCTACAACCTCCGTCTCCCAGGTTCAAGTG